CACATGGGATGCTGTGAAATGTTTGAGTTCCATCGCCGAGCTTTTGGCTTCGAGCTACCACCTACATGTAAAGGAGCTACACGATTCGACTCCATGATTATTCATCCAACACTTTTATCACATATTCTTCGAATTGATATCGGTCCAGAACACCAGTTTGCAGATCACTGTGCTGTTCATGTCCAACTCAATTTACCAGCAACACATTTGGCATCACAAATATGGTTTGTACCTAAGTCTTGGACCCTCTTTCATATCAAAGGGTCTGAATTTGCACATCAATATCGGAAGGTGCGCCGTTGTTGCCCTCTTCATGTCTCCGATGATGCAAGCACTAGTCTGTACCAATGGTCAGCTCACATTGAAAGGGCAGTTGACCTTACTCTTCAATCGCAGCACCGTCTTGATCCATTGGTTCATAGTCAACGTTTTTTGCCAAAAACTCACCGAGGTAGGTGTGCTACACCTCGTCTTATCCATCCTTCAAGTCTCCGTTCTCCTAAGAAAGATTGGGCAGGTTGTTATGAGCCACCGGTGGAGGTTACTTCCCTTCGGAGCCGCCATAAAGTCCGCCAAGTCCGCCGATTGCGATGTCTTGAACAGCTTTACAAGAAATACACTTTGGCCGACATCCATCCTGTCGACTGGCCATCCCTACCTCAATTTCAATCACTGGTCCTCCAATGGCAGGCCATTCGACTCGCTCACGGATATGGCAATTCATGGACACGGTGGATGTTGCAATTTGAGGCCATTGATGCAGTCCCTACCGACCTGCCGACTTTCGATCAATTGTACACAGTCCGTCAAATCACACAATATGACGCCGACCTATATTGCCAACAAGAAGCCAAGCTTCGCCGACTATCGAATAAATATGGCATGGAATTAGATGTTCAACATAAGTCTAGCTCCCGATTCTATAAACAGCTCAGAGCACAAGAATCCAAAGTGTTGCCAGGATTCCCTACTCAACTTCGAGCACAAGCCACATTACAACGGATGTCAAAGGGCCCCATCCGCCTGGTACTCCACCAACCAGTTGCATTTCGACTTTATGCTGCGGCCCGTTTTGGTGATGCTACTCTTCGAATCGTAGAACAACAGGCGAACTCACTTACCTGCCAAGTCCTGGAGGGAGTCCTCCCCACACATGGTGACATACAGCAAAACGTTTATGCCTTCGAGCTCCCTGATATGGTCGGCCCATTTGCTCAATACTGGTCTCAATTTTGGAACCGTGACACGCCTGAGGATGAACAGGCTGATCAGGCTTGGGACCCCTGTTGCAATCCCTCCTTAATCGGATTCCACCCCAGACTCCATTGGCAATTACCTGGACCGATCCGCACATCCTTACACGCACCATACAACGACTTAAGCCATTTAAAGCCGTGGGAATAGATGGTTGGCGTGCGGAAGAACTTCAACTCCTTCCCCAAGAAGCCGTGCACGATTTGGCCAATATTTTCGCCCACATTTGGCCAAAAGGGCTCTCGACACATCACATGATCGCACGTGTAATTCTGTTAGCCAAAAAGAACCCAGCCACTTCTATCAATGATGGCCGCCCTATTACAATCTTAGGCTACCTGAGTCGTCTAACCTCCAAACTCATTGCCTATCAGCTGCTTAGTCACTGGACACAAACCTGGCCAAGTGCCATCTCAGGGGGCTTGCCATCTCGCGGAGTCCAAGACATCACATTTCTCCAGCAGTTTCATATCGAAAAGGCAAAAAATAGGTCCGCACCATGGCGGGGCTTTACCCTTGATTTAATCAAAGCTTTTAATCTCCTTCCGCGCAGAGTCATCTACCATCTTTTAATTTATCACGGAGTACCACCAGATTCCATCCAATTCTGGTTTCATAATCTCCGCAAAATGACTCGTCGATTACAGGTCAGAAATTGCGTTGGCCCCCCTCTCCACATGACCACAGGAGTTCCTGAGGGGGATAGTCTGTCAGTTTGTGCCATGCTCGTTGTCTCCTCGGCCTTCTATTGGACTATTCAATCACCCACTGTTTTCCCTTATGCGTATGCGGACAATTGGTCTTATTTGACCACTAATCAGCGTGATAACATTATTACTTTTCGTCGCATCCAAGATTTCGTTCACGCCTTCCGCATGCAGATCGATTATGCCAAATCCTGGGCCTGGGGTGCTACCAGTGATGCACGCCAAGACTGGACAGAGTTTTTAAACCAAACATTCCCAGATAGCAACCAAGTCCCAGTCCTTAACTCGACTAAAGACTTAGGTTGCATGACTCATTACACACGACACATCACTTTGGGTCATCTGAAGACCAAAATCCACAGCGCGATTCAACGATGTAGAAGAATTCGTCGTTTTCCCACTGATCTCCTTCAAAAGGCCCGGTTCATACAGACGGCCGTATGGCCCCACGCTTTTTTTGGAGCAGAGACACAGGTCGTTGGCGACAGTCATTTTCGCAAACTGCGCAGGGAGGCAGCTATAGCTCATCGGCCCAGAATCTCAGATCTCTAGCTGGCTTGCAGTTCATGTTTTTAGTCAACAACTGCAAGATCCTCTCCTTTATGTGATTTCTACAGCTTTGGCTTTCTTACGTCGTATGTACCACATCAACCCTGCTCTCGCTTGCGAGTTCACAAATGCGGTACTGTCGCACACGGGACCCGCTATCGGTCCTGCGGGCGCTCTCGCCAGATACTTGAACATAGTAGGGTGGTCTTTGCAACCAGATGGTTCTCTTGCTCTTGACGGATATATGTCCATTTCACTCCGGCACGATTCTCTTGCCTCGATACGTTCCACCCTCCGTCAAGCATGGGCTTATCATATCCACCGCAATATTTGCCATCGGAAAGGGGCGACTGACCATCCTTTTGATTATACGCTGCTGTCTCGCGTGATTCAATCTATGTCAGTGACCACTATCCGTCAAATCGCTTATAATTTGACAGGAGGGTACCAAGTCGGTGCGGTCAAAGCCCAATGGACATCGACGGTTGATGCCAACTGCCCATTTTGTGGTCAAGTTGACACCCACTCCCACCAACAACTTGACTGCCCAGATTTTGCACATGTACGCAAGCGACACCCTTTGGCGGTCCGCTACCTTCAAGATAACCCCGCCAAGCTGTGGTTGCCTTTGCCTCATAGCTATCCCGACTTGGAGGTCATTCGTCAACTCCTTCGACACCGAGGCACAGATACTGAATCTACTACAATTCGACAGGAAGGTAACGTCCTTTACTTCTATACTGACGGATCAGCTGATACACCGATCCAGCCGGTCACTCGTCGGGCAGCATGGTCCGTCGTACAATTCCTCCCTGATACGAGCACTGCACCCTTCTTGACCATTAAAATTCAGCACGTTAACGGGGCCCAAACCATCGCCCGTGCTGAACTAGCCGCAGTGGCCTGGATCGTTCAACATGCGGCTACACACCAGTGGCATCAGCAAATTGTGATCACCACCGACTCGCAATATGTAATAAACGTGATCCGCGACACCACTAATCCAACCAATCATCCTTCCTGGCACCGAGTTGCTAATGCAGATCTCCTGCGTATTATCGCACAATTCTGGCGACCTACACAGTTCGTTTTGCGGAAGGTTAGATCACACCAAGACATCACTTCGTTACCCCCTGGACCACTGCGTGATGACGCACTTGGCAACTCATGGGCAGATCTCGCAGCTGTGCGTGCACGCCACACAGATCATCCGACTATCGATCATCTGTTCTCTAATGCCAATATCTGGCATCAAGATCAATACAGACAAACAAAGGCGATCCTTTTGTACTTAGCTGATCTCAACTTTTGTCACCTCCAACACAAAACAACCACATCTGCCAGTGGCACCGGGCTAGCTCAGCACGAAGCTTCCCTGGAATGGGGTACCATCTTTCGCCAGCGTGAACACTACGTAGTTCCACCTCCGGTCTTTAATTTTTCCCCACATATCCATCCAGCCTGGATTACGGCCTGTGTGTGGGGTAATCAATACGCCGACTTAGTGTTTCGTTTCTGTACATCACTTGTATGGCCGGACCCTCTGGGTATACATACTGATCCGCTCATCACACAGGGAATAACATGGCATGAGCTTACTATTGCCTTTGTAGTTAACACCGGTGTCCAATTTCCTACTTGGATACGTCTGCCTGATTCCCAAAGAGCACAACCTGTCCATTGGCAGGATCCCAGGGTCCTGGCTTTGCCAATTCCAAAACGGGCCCTCCGTGAACAAGCAGAAGCATTTCGCACTATCGTTATTTATTTGCAGAGTTACACGAGCACACCTTTGCTTCCCACATACTCTAAGACCGGATCCATCAGTCTCACTCAAGTTGGCTGGGGCCGGTCTTATACTGGAGGATTCGCGTTACGCCCTCAAATGCCAAATGCTGGTGCGGTTCAACGCACATTGATCCACTATGCTGCGGATCTGCATTGTAAACCTCCTTACCATCCGGATGGTTTGATCCCGATGCGATTCATTGTCCCGTCCATTCCAGTTGTTGATGCAATCTCACTCACTTTTCATCAGCGTTTTCTGTATCGTCGCAACTTGCGAAAGATTTGGAATCGCAACGGTGACCTCGATACCGTGTCCATTCCGGTCGATCCCAATTAGGAATTCACAGATCCAAGCCCTTCGTGCTATGCGGACATTCGGTCTCACGTAGTTAGACTTGTTTCCTGTGTGCACTACACATTTTTGTTCATATCTGACACGTAGATATTCTTACCAAACTCCTCGGCACCCACCAACACGGTGTAGGGCCGGAGGATGCGCGCAGACAGTGACCGCAACTTGTGTGAGTAGCGATGCCAGGAGCACCTAGTAGCGTCCTTGCTCCTAGTAGCG